GAAGAAAAGTGGAGCAACAACTGTCACACCCTGCTACAAATGGGTCTGTTAAATTCTAGGTGACTCCCATTCCTACAACTTCTGAGCATGACTGGCTGAGCTCCACCTGCCAAGACTGAGACAGAATCCTAAGGCTGCATGCCTGCTTTTCCAGAAGCCTAGCTAAACAGGTCCAGGCATCAGAGAGAATTCAAGACCTTTTGTGAGTGTATGTACACAAACCTGCATCTGCATGGCTTAGTCTGAATGGACATGAATTGTGTACATATATGTGCAGGCATGCATTTGTACACATATTTATACCTATGTGTCCAAGCATATGCAGTGAGTATATATATTATGTGTACATGTATATATCCTTCCTTAGGAAGGATAGTATTCACGTCCTTATAGAGGCCTCATCTGACCTATTCATTTCTTGACCTCTTATTTACAATGTTCTCCTCCACCCAACCTTAGCTACCCACTCCCATGGGCATACCTTGGAACTTGCCAACACCTATAACTGCCTCATCTCTGAAATCACTAATCCAGACATTCTACTGTCTAACCATAATCTATTATCCTTCCATCTGGCATGCTCAATTACACCCCATATAACTGCTCCTCATCTTACTAGGACCTATCTACTTTTTCCATCAGGCTTCTTGCTGTCCTCTCTTCCCTCAATATCCAGCTTAGATCCCATAGTCCATCTTGGTAACCACTGTCTTGACAATATCTTCAACTCCTTTGTTCCTTTCATCACACTTCATGGGAAAATCCCCACCCAGGATGAATCCAAATGTCTGTCTTCCGCATGCCCACAGCCAGGCAGCTGAGCTCTGCTAAATAAAAGTCATGCAATTGAACAGAGTAGTTCCACTATAAATTAATGTCATCAGCCTCAACTGAACCCTCAGCACTGCCTAAAATCCTACTATACTTCTTAAGTCATCTCACACGTCTGTTTACTAAAACTACAGCAATCCCTTTCCACTTCCTGCAAACCTTCCCATCTCTCCCTATTAGTTACCAGCAAATAACTAATCATCTACTTCACAGAGAGAAAAAAAGCCATCATATAGGAACTACTTCAACTTGCCATCATCAAACTCACAAACCTACCTGCATCTATGCACACCCATCTTCTTCTTCCTCTTGAGGAGAGCCAATTTCAAGAACCTGGGCTTTCCATCCCACCTCCTTTCACCTTCTCAGAGACCTCTCTCACTCCTATATTTTCAACCTTTCCTTCTCTAATAGTGCCTACAAACAAGCACACATGTCTTCCATCTTAAACCACAAAATCTGCCTCAACCCACTTGTCCCACCACAGCTCTTGCCCTTTCTCCTTTGAAGCCTCTCCCTATGTTTAGTACCCTTCAATAGCTTCCCCTTACCCTAAAGACAAAGATCAAAGCCTAAAGTGTGGACTACAAGCTCCCACTTCCCCCTCCAGTTTCATCTCATGCCACTCTCCTCTCTTTCCCACATCCACTATGCTTCAGGCAGTCATTCATTCATTCAACAGATAATGATTAATGATGGGGACAGAACAGTGAACTAAAGAAACAAAAATTCTCTGCTCTCACGGAACTTACATTCTAATTCCAGGAAGCTGCCAGGCTTCTCCTCACCTCAGGGCCTTGTCATATACTTAGCCAATTTCTGCTCATCCTTCAGATCTCAGCTTAGCCACCCTTCCTCAGGGGACCATTCTCCGACCCCATAGGTCAGGTCCCCTTATGAAACAATCCCATGACTCTGAACTTTTTAGTTTTGCAACACAATTAATACTCATCTTTTCTGTTTTATATTCCAGGGCCTAGTGCAGTACCTGAAACACAGAAGGCACTCAAGAATATCTGTTTATTGATGAAGATGTGTATGTTTACTTATATGCATGTGTATTTATACTCTAGGAATATGATTGTATAAACACATTTATGTCTATTTGCATATATTCTGCAGGTGACTATGTGAATATATGTGTATGTACGTATGGGTACCCATAAACACTTTTGGGTATGCCCACTTGCATGTATGCATTCACATGACTATACATGTGCATATCTGTGTGTGTGTGTATTCTTCCGGCTCTTCAGTGGCAACTTTGATCTGGAGGGAGCTGAGAGCAGGGCCCCAAGTCCTCTCTAAGCTGACAGTTCAATAAGAGTATAAGATCATTCAATGACACTCCAAATGTCAGCAAACATTGGCTTGCTCTACTCTGTTACAGGAGAAGTAGGTGGAGGCGGGAGATGTGGAAACCTGGTCATTGAAAAGCTGCTCTTCCCTGATGCAACCCACACTGTTTCTGGACAGGAGAGGGCAGGTGAAAGAAAACATTTAGCCTCTTCTCAGATTAGAGGCCTTAGGAAATTGGGATGGTGAATTCAGCCTCAGTCGCTTACTTACTAGGCAGGTCTAGGTGGCCAAGCAGGCCAGAACTCTCCCCATTTTTTTTTTAATGGGGCAAAGTTCTGTAGGGGAATTGAGGAGGAGAGGAGAAGGAAAGGAAGGAGGGACAAAATAAGATCAAGGACAGGAGAGGACCCTGTAGATAGCCAGAGTGTGGGTCATATATAAAGAAAGAAGGCATGGAGTAAGTAAGGCTTTTGCATAATACTCCCACAACCTTGGCAATGACCTTTCTGGCTTTGCTTTTATTGTTACTCTTTTTAAGGGAGCAGGTATCTTTGTGCAGCCTGCACTAAGTCATATGGTATAAAGGTCAGAAAGATCACCATGCCCCCTCCAAGGCCCTGCAGCCTTCCTAACTTGAATGGCTGCTGGCAAGGACTGAACCGAAGTCTGGAATTAAGACATCTCTCCTGCTGGGTCTTCAAACAAAGCTGCAACATAATGTGGCTGGAGGGCAGAAAAGAAGGGGTTAGATCTCTTGCTTTTCCTAGACCTGCTAAGTTTACCTCACAAGGCCAACTGGGAATAGAGTCCTCAGTTTCCCCTTGTGCCCATTTCCCCTCTATGGCTCAGCACAGTCTGGTAGAGAGCTAACCTGAACAGGCTCAGGACAGCCCACCTCCACCTCTAGCAGCACCAAGGTAGCCTTGAGTGGCAATGTTACCACAGGGGTCAACTGCTTTCCTGCCTTTCCGCCAAGGAACCTAGAGGCAGGGAGCTATCCAAATGCCAAAAGTCTAGTGAACTTCACAGAGCAATTGTTTATGGTCAGCGCCTGCCTCGCCTGGCTGGGCCTTCACACTGCATCTGCTGAGGCCAGCAAGCAGCTTCAGATGCACTCTGACAGCTGGCATGCTGTCTTCCAGCAGTGCAGGTCTAACCACGCCTGCACATGCAACCCTATCAAATCCTGCGTGAGAAGGCCTCTATGGAACCAGTTCTCAATGACCAGTCAGCCAGCCAGCAATCATTCACAGAACACATACTCTGTACCTAGCCCCAATCTGGCCACTGGGGCTAGGTACCAGTGAGGAACCAGATTCAGTCTCTGTGCTCCAGATAGACATGTCTACAAGGAAACACACACAGACTTTGTTTCAACACTCTAAGATCCAAAGTGTCAAGGAGCCTCAAGGCAAGAGACTGATTGCTAAGCTTCTGAGCAGAGGTGATACCTGAGCTGAATCTTTAAGAGGAAATATGCCGATGACTGGAAATATGAAGATGACTGGGGGGTACTTCAGAGAAGTAAGGTCGCAGGCCAAGGGCCCAAGGTAGCACAGAGCCTGGCTTCCTCAGCCAGATGGCAGGTAGTAAGTAGCTACTGTTTAGGTGCATGGGGGATAGGCAGAGAGGTGGGCAGGGGTCAAAGTACAAAGAAGCCAGAGTGCAGAGGACCTGCATACCGTGGGAAAGCAAAGGAGTTCACAACCGTTGCCATGAAGAATGAACGGCTGCCCTGAGACCTACAGAACAAAGTCCAAGGTCATTCTCTCCCACTGTTCCTTCCCATGCTCACTTAGCTCCAGGCCCACACATACCAAAAGCACACTGCTCCCCTTGCCTAGAAAGCCTCTCTTCCTCAGATCCATATCTCACCTTCCTTGAAATGCCCAGTTCAAGACTGAAATCGTTACAATCCCAGCCTGACCCTCCAATAACCTTTCTTCTCTGAGCCCCCTGGAAGCCACTACTCTGATCCCTGGTGTGGTCTCCCTTCTCCGAGCTTCCTGGGAGTGACTACTGACTGGTGGCATGGGGTTCCTGAGGATGCCCCAGGGCTGTTGCTCTTACATTACAAGGATTTATGGGGATGAGCCTCCCTAGTGGACTGGGCCTCCTGGAACAAGGATCCTACTAGAGCAGGGATCTGGGGAGTCTATTCCTACACCTCCTTTCTTCTGCTTACTTAAGAAGTACAGCATATGCTAGGAAAGGGCAGTTTTCTGAGTGATTCATTCTCTGCCAGGGCCCACTTTCCTAGCTACATGGGGTCCCTCCCAGCCCACAGCCTCAGCCCACTCCCCAGGTGCTTGGTGCTCGAAGGGAATTGGGCTGCAGTTTCTGTGGCCCTTCTCATTTGAGCAAGGATCTGCTGTGGCTAGGCAGGACCAAAGCCAGCGTGAACCAACTCTACCTCCCAACCAGAGGAAGATACCAGGGCTAGTCAGCAGGGTCAGAAGCTACACTCATGATCGCATCAAAGGAAGAGACATTCCCAAAGACTCAGTTACCACCACATCTCTCCTAGAGGTAATACAGTTCAGCCCACAGATTCATCTCTGAGCAAGAACCTGGAAAATCCCCTTAAATGGAATTTCTCTGCATATTAGGTGATACCAAATAGGGAAGTGTCATACTCCACTCAGCAGCCTGGTCCTTCTAGCAGCTCCCCACTCCCAGAAATAACCATAACCTTACAGTGCGCATTAGCTAGGGAAGAGGAAAGAGGGATGTTGAGAAAAGAAGAACAGAAAGAAAAGGAGAGATAACAACAACAAAAAGAACAGAAATGAGAAAAGAAAGCAAGGGAGGGGAGATCTGAGGCACAGGAAAACCAGACAAAGCACACAAGTGGGGCTCAGATACAGTACCTTTTTCAGATTAATCCACTGCTTGAAGTAATCTGCCACTGGCAAGCCCAAGTACTGGCACTGGCCGGGGAGCCTACAAGAAACGGAACAGAAAAGTTGGGGACACCCACGTCACAGGTATGGAGTCTTAAGCTACAAAATCCAACATATAGCCTATAGACAAGACAAATAGACCTCATTAGTCATGGGTCCCACCCCACCCAAGAAAGGCACCCCATCTCCAGCACCCTGGACACTAGACTCCAGATCCAGCCCTCAGATCCAAATGTGAAAACCTGAAGACTGTTCAAAATAATAGCAGCTACTATTTTCTGATGGCCTATACTATGCTAAGTACCTTACTAAAATTTTCACATTATTCTTCAGAATGGTGCTCTGAGGTAGGTAGTGTGGACTACATTTTACAGATGAGAAAATGAGATTCAGAGGGGTTACCTAAGATTCCAGAGCTAAAAGAAATAACAGTGCCAAGAACTGAACCCAGGTCTGTCTCATTCCAAAGTCTATGTTCTCTCCAGGGCATACTAGCTTCTTGTTGTTTTGTTACAACAGAGAGGCAGAGATATAACCCATGAGGAGAGAGAGAAAGAGCACATGATTTAGAGATAGCTGGGCAGCGACTTCATTCACATTTAAGTCTCTAGCAATATGCTTTCTACAGATAGAGACCACGTGGACGGATGAGAAGAGGTCAAAATTTAAGCCAAGAGTCTGTTCTTGTTTTTTCTTTAAATTCAAATTTATAAACTGTCTACCCTTTGAGCTAATGATGCCATTTCACCCACACAAATCCATTCACCCAAACATTTGCTGATGTTTACTAAAAGTCAGGCACTTGGGACTCAAACAGTAAGGCTTAACTAGTACTCATACGGGGCTCACAGTTTGTTCAGTGGGATGGACAATAAAAGAAGTAGACAACCCAGCCTTAAGTTGGAGCACTGGGGTACATGGAAGGATGGAGGAAGACATTAGAAATATCAGCTGGGGAAGATCATAAGAGTTTTCTTGCTAAGAGAAGAGCTTAGCCTCAGGCAATAGAGAGCCTTTGAAGAGTTGCGGTTTATACTGACCGAGGCAACAAAAACAATACACTAAAAAAAGCCAGGAGAATAGACAATAGTCCAGATATTGGAGATGTAAAAGAGGACTGAAGGGGATGTGGGGCCCAGTGAGAGAAAGCAGTAGAACCCAACTCAAAGGAGGTTTGTGCCTTGGCTAGCTTCTTGCTACTCACTGAGAGATATAAAGGAGACAGGGCGGAGAGAGCAATATTTGATACCCAGAGCAGACCAACACTTAGTCAATTTTATTATTGTTTTTAAATTCCCTATATACACTGTATCCTTTTTCTACCCAAACCAGGGTGGACTGCTCCCACTGCCTCACCCCTAGTACGCCACTGGAAGGAGGTACAAGTTTGGGAATGTAGTGTTAGGTAGGTGGCTGGCACATAGTAAGCACTCAGTATCTGTTGAGTGTGAGGTGCCTATGAGACATTCGGCAGTGGGATGCTATCTAAGTGGCAGCTGGATATCCAGTTTTCAAGAGAGGTCTGGACTGGACATACAAAATGCTGAATCATTAATGTAATTTAAGTAAAATTAAAGCCATGAGAATAGGTTAAGATCACCTGGGCCCGGCAGGGCGTGGCTCAGTGGTTGAGCGTCGACCTAGGATCCAGGCGATCGGGGTTCGATTTCTGCTCAGGGCACATGCCCGGGTTGCGGGCTTGATCCTCAGTTGGGGATGTGCAGGAGGCAGCCGATCAATGACTCTCTCATCATTGATGTTTCTATCTCTCTCTCCCTCTCCTTTCCTCTCTCTGAAATCAATAAAAGATATATTTTTTAAAAAAAAGAAAAAAAAAAGATCACCTGGGAAGAATATGGCATGAGAGGAACAGAGGGCCCATATCTCGTAAATTTTACTGAGCTAAAATAGAACCCGGCCACCCCTACCAGACCATTATCACACACAAGAAACTCACTGCTTCAGCTCTAATTTGGGACTCCTTCAATTCTTAGACCATCCTTCCTTAATACAAAACTAAAATCTGTCTCCTTGTAACTTCCACCTTGAGGAATGTCTTTAGAAACTACAGAGAATGAGACATCCATCTCTTCCTTGCAGAACCTTCCCAAGAGCTGAGAGCCCAGGAAGCTTAAGCTTCCCCCAGAGTTCCCTTCTCCAGGTCACACACCCTGTGCTCCTTCAAGAATTCCACAGGAGTCTGTGGAGTGGCCCATTCTCTGTCTCTCTGCTTCACTAATAGACTCACTTTTACTTTAAACTAAAAAAAAAAAAAAAAAAAAAAAAAAAAAT